TTGTTGTATACTGATTACATGCTGAAATGAAAATTTTTAGAATATATTGAGTTAGTACCCTATTTTATGAAAATTAGTTATTACTTGTTACTTTTTACGTTTTTCAGTGTAGCCGTTAGAAAATATAAATTTGTATCGGGGCCCACCTTATGTACCTATGGACGGTGGTGTGCACTGCATTTCACACACGTCTCATTGAATCCCCAGTACAGTCCCGTGAGGTGGGTGGTGCTTGCTCCATTTTATGGGTTAAATTCTTGCTCCGAGTCTGTCCCCATCTAGCTCTGCCACAGTGTCAGTCAGCGAGGCCGAGCTGGGTGTGAGGCCAGAGACCTTCCTCCCTCCAGGCCCTTGCTCTGTCCCCACTGCAGAGGTGGCAGCCAGGGGACCTCACTCTCGTGAGAACGGCAGGTGTCCTCCTTTGAGGTCTGTTGCACCACTGTGTCCCGCCCTCTGTCTCCTACCACAGACTGCCTTCTCCCTCCATGACGTCCATCTCCCCTCCCTGGTGGGCCCTCATCCCCCCTTAGGGCAGGACTCTCTGGAGACCTGGACTCCCTGCAGTGCCTTGGGCACAGGTGAGGCCCATGCAGTGTGGCCTGATTCTCTGCTGATGGGAAGCATGTCAGGGATGCAGAGCAGCAGGTTCACCAGCAGGGGTCACTCCTCAGCTCGCACCCTGGGGTCTAGGCCTGACTGAGGGTCCTCTGCCCTTTCTGAAGCCTGTCCCAACTCTGTCTCTATGACTTTCCCCGAACTTAGGCCTGAAGCTGTTCTTTGATTACTTTGCAACCATCGTGCCGTGTGACTCCTGGGATTTGCTCATGAGGCAGTTGGGCCTCACGCAAAATGAGATCCTTCTGGTCAGAGAAGGGGTCCGGGTCCCTCGGGATGCCTTGTATGAAATGCTGGATACTTGGGTCAGCAACAAGGGACGGGAGGCCTCAGTCAACACCCTGCTGGACGCCTTGGAAACGCTGGGGCAAAGATTGGCAAAGGAGACAATTCAGGACCACCTGCTGGACTCGGGAAAGTATGTCTATGAAGATGGTGAAGCAGGCTCTGCTGTGTCCTGAGTGTTTGAGGACCTCAGCCTTTCAGTTGAAGACACTTTTTTATCCTAAAAGACTTGCACTTTTCATTTGTATTTGTTATTTGTATTTGTCATTCATGTTGATATGTATGCATTTAATGATGTGTAACATAATACACATCATTAAAGTGCAAACATATTGTGAATCTTCGTACTTTTATGTTTATATATATATATTTATATAAGTGTAAAAAAATTTTGCAAATATACTTTCTAGGTTGTTTATGTGGGTTACCTGGATGAGAGCTGGGAATCAAAAACAATTAGAAATACAAAAGGAGGAAATTCCCTGGCAGTTCAGTGGTTAGGACTCTGCGTTTTCACTGCTGAGGTCCCAGGTTCAATCCCTGGTCGGGGAATTAAGATACCAAAAGCTGCGAGGCAAAAAAAACAAAACAACAACAACAAAAAAAGCAAAAAAAAAGGAAAGGAGAAAAAGCCCACTGTGGGGAGAGCACTGATAGCATCTTCTCCCTCAAAGGAAGTTTGGTCACTTTTGGATGCCTGGTGACTTCTCCAGGGCCCACTTTAAACATGTCAATTTTATAGCTGTGTGAATAGTTACATTTTTTATAGGTAGGAGTTTACATCTGAGCAGAGAGTGAGGAGAAGTGGCATCCACGTGCAGCCCTGCATCTGGGGTCCGTGAACTGGGCTGTGGTGCCTGGGCCTCCTCCTGTTCACCTGAATTGGCTATATAAAGGATCTCATGGCCTTCTGCAGAAGAGACTCACACAAAACTACCAGCTCTTAAATACTGTGAGAATTGACCTAAAATGGCTGCTATATTAAGGTTTGGTCCTTTTATTGCTTTTTAAAAATATCTTTCTGCCATTAAACCCTTCTCCATAGTGTTCCAACTGCTGCAGGATAATTTAATGGTGGAAGCAATTCTCGGGGGTTTTTGGTCTATTCCATCTCAAAGCTTTGTGTGTTGTCTTCCCTAAGGTTGATGTGGCTAATGTGGCCAAAACTGGAACTGCCTGAATCTAGGCACATCAGGATATAGCATGTGGAGTCCACTTGAGTTTCTAGAAGGGCCGACCCTGTGGTCTTGGTGCTATATGCCCCTGGCCCTGATGTCCCTCCCTTTTCTGGAAGTCAGGTGTTTCCTGCCTTTGCTGTTCCTTCTGTGCAGGACACTTTGCCTTCATCTTCAGTGGGAAGTATAAATGGATTCTTGTCAATCAGGTGTTGGGTCACTTGTCCCTTTCTCAGAAGACTTCCTTCAGTGCCAATCTAAAGTATTAGCCTTGCCAGTGTCTGTCAGCTATATTCACTTGTTCGCATGTTTATTGTGTGTTTTACCAATGAGAATCTTTAAGAAACGTGAACTTGCATCCTGTATTGCTTCATGCCAGTGCAAATATGATACTTTTGAAGTTTTACTTGAAAATTGGATGTCTGTTCAAGTCTCTTCTCAATGAGAGGACCCCTTCTTGAAGATTTTGTTAGAAATATCAAGCAATACAGGAAATATCATTAGGTATAAAATACTCATGTGTTTATGAATTTGTGACCAAATTATGCAATGTTATATTTAAAATTTTATAATTTTATATAAATATGCATTTTTATGAATTGGTGACCAAATTAAATATGCAATTTTATATAATTTTATGTGTGTTTTTTTCCTCCATCCTCCTGTCCTCCTGTAGAACAGTGCTGAGTGACACAGGTACAGGGGTGTGTGTTCTTGCTGTGTGACCCGCTCCATCCTTCTCCCTTTTATGCCTCGGGCTCAAGCTCGCCCTGCATGGGTGTCTCCTGCTCTGACTCTGGATTTCTGGGCACCAGGTTCCTGGGGGACTGCAATCCAGCTCCTCCTCCCTGCCCTTCCCCTGGGGGAGGACCCCAGCCTGGCGCGGCTTCCCCACAGCCTCCGCAGGTGATGTCTCTGGGCCACACCTGGGCCTGTTGGGCTCCCTAGAGGTGCAGACCGGCTCTGACAGAGCTGCTGGGAAGGGGGGGTGGGGCCCTGCTTGCTGGGGTCATTCTGTGACCCCTCACCTGGGGGCCTCCTGCAACTCCTGGGCCATCTTCCCTTTCTCTCCCCGCTGGCCTTTCTGCATCCTCATCAGTGGGCCCAGTGGCTCAGCCCTGCAACCTCATGGAGCCCCAGTTCCCTTCCCCTGGACCTTAGGGTCTGGCTCTCCCACCCACCAGAGTTCCTGGGAGGCCCCATGGTCCCACCCCTGTCCCCTTCCCCAGAGTGAGGGTGCTGGGTGCAGAGCTGCACACTCCCTTGGGCCCCCCTCCTGCCACTGCCCCTGCCTGTGAGTTACTACATATTACATCAGGATTGGGAAGAAAAATATTTTAGATCACAAATCAGGAGTAAGAGGTGAATTTATAATTACTTTAAAATAAATTCTTGAAAAGAAATTTTGCCTGTATGAGGCCCTTGTATCGAATCATCTGAATTGTCCTTGAACTGGGCAGTCTGATTGGGCCTCCATCTGTTTCTGTGTCTGTCAAAGTTTTACTGGAGCCTGCGGGGTGAGAAGGTGAAGGTGTTAGGGGCGATATTCCATGGTCAATAGGCTTTATTTCACAGTCCACTTGGGATGAACCTGAGCAGTTTTGCAGGATACGTAAAAGCCCGTATTACTAGAAATTACTCTAAAACTTAGTGTTTTAAAAACCACAGCCTTTATTACATCACC